GTGGCAGTATGCCACTTCCAAACCCAGACATCCAAAGTTCTCGCACATCTCTACTTCACTCTCTTAGAGCTCTGTCCCACACCATGAGAACAACCTAGACTAGTCTGCTGAAAAATAAGTCACTATTACCAGCCAAAATAACCCAACATCTTATTTCAGGCAGCCCCCAGATATTCCAAAGTGACTCCTACCTGTGTGCAAGCCCATTCAAGATCAAATTTGTCAAGTAAATTCACAGTCTAACAAAATGCTAGGGCTGTTAGTACTACCCTTGGTGATAGTTTACTATGCAGCAAAATCTAAAGAATATAGAAATTAATATGTAGGAAAGGATGCTGCCTATTTGGGACTCGGTAAGTAGAAGAGGCTAAAAACAGCAGACTGTTAGCAGAAGTTAGAAAAGTGCTGAGATGACACTAGAAATGAAAATCCAGTAACCTGTATTTAGTAGTGGAACAGGTTACAAAACAGTTGTACCACTTTCTTGGAAGATAAAGAAAGTAGCTAATCAACCTTTGGGTTTGACTGAGAAATCTGCAGGCAAAATGTTAGAAGTGTTCCAGTTGTATGTGAGATCCTAGAGGAGGTTGGGGTGAGATAAGATAAAGAAATAACTGGCCAGTTTTAAAAAATTTGTAGGGAATATTGTAGTCCATAATTTGAAGAGTTGGAAAATAAAACTATCTCTCATCAACAGTGTCACCAGCCTGAACACAAAGATTAAATCAATGATTAAAATCTCTGAAATAATGAAGGTGGCACCTAAAATATTTTATAGCTAGCGGGGGAAAAAAAGACTTCAGGAATCTTAAGACTGTGACTCTGCAGAAAAATTCCAAACTAACAAGAAGTCTACAAAAAAGATGCTTTTTTTAAAAAAAAATTCAATTCATAGGAAGATCACAAAATTTTTATGAAGTATACATGTGAAAATACCACCAGCCTGGACTAAAAGGGATACAGATTGTTCCAGCTGTAAAAAGATTTTTGGACTTCAACTTTCTATTGAAAAGAATTGGGTTCAAAAAAAAAATTAGCTAGCAAGTATGGGCTGTTTCTTCAGAAGTAGGTAAGAAATTGAGGGACAGGAAAGGATGAAAGGATGACGACTGGTGCAAACAATGGAGGACACAGACACTTCCAAGAGGCTGTAGAGACAGATGATCAGAGAAAACACTCCCAGGAAGAAGAAGCTATGTCTGATCAAGGAGCATTCCCAACTCCCAGGGTAGGACAATCAGCAACATGTTCCCACTTAGATCTTATAACTACTGCAAATCAGTGACTGTGATGAACTTCCCACAACCCACTCCCCTCCTTTATTATAAAACTAACTCATATTAATTGTATGAATCAATGCATTTCTCTGTGCTTTTTCCATACATGCAGATATCCTGTTTTAATTTTATCTAATCTCCCTATTATCCTCTCTTGCCCTCCTCAATTCTTTCCCATTTGGATGGGATTGTTGCTTGCAATTCTCCAGTCTCTGTAAACACAGTGTATGTTGGGTGTGTAGATCTTGTCCTTTTAGTTCATATGTCTGTTGATCAAAAGGAGCTACACCTAAGAAGCCATATGTGAAACTGATTTAGATATGCAACTTTGAAATTCAAGCTCAATGCCATTATTGATGAAAGCTTTTGAGGATATTAAAATTAGTGAGCAAAATGTGGGCTTTAATAGAATGGTTCTTATTTTCTTCCTGTCTTTTATCTACACCCTTTGAAATGTAGCCTTGAGAGCCTCCTAATAAGAGCTAAACTATCTCTCTCTGTGAACTTGTTGACTTGGATCTGGTCAACAGATTGCAGCAGAAATAGTAGTATGTCAGTCTTGAACCTAGTCCTCGGGTGGTCTTAAAAACCTCTCCTCCATCCCATAAGAACAAGCTTAGGCTAGCCAACAACAGGTTATTGTGGCGTTGTTATTGCTCTAAATATAAACAATAACCAGTTCATGCCCCAACACGTCAGATGAACCAGCTGACAACAGATACATAAGTGAGTCTAACCTATATTAGCCAGCCTGGGTGCAGATCATAATAATCCACCTGATCATAAACTCATGATAAATAACAAATACCTATGGCTTAAATCATTAAATTTTAGATGGCTTTGACACAGCAATAGTTCAGTGATACATGATAGTGATCTATCAGAAGACTACAGTGAAAATGCCAAGATTTTCTATAAATTCTGTAACCTACCTTCTATCATTTTTTTAAAAAAAGAAAACTTTATGCATATTGACCAACTTCTATTATTTTCAAGCCCCTAAATCCCTAACTTACAAACTAATCACCTATCTTTCATAGATTGTCAATGAATAGTTTACAAAGTTAAAACACGTATATTTAAATTGTACTAGCATCAAACATATATGCATAAATTTTAGGGAGCTTTTTAAGGAGCCAGCATGTCTACAGAGAAAGATTGTCTAGAATGTAATAATGATTCTATCACTTTGTTTCTCTTCAGTAAAATTGTACTTGACAACTTTTAATTTTAAAATAATATGTATTTTAGTCAGCTTTTTCATCACTGTGACCAAAAGACCGGATAAGAACAACAGAGGAGGGAAAGTTAATTTGGGGCTCAAAATGTGGGAGGTCTCAGTCGATAGATGGCTGACTTTATAGCTCTGGGTCTGAGGTGATACAGAGCATCCCGGTAGAAAGGCATGGAGGAGGAAAGCAGCTCAGAACTTGAAAATCAGGAAGCAGAGAGAGAGCTCCACTCATATACCTCAAAGTCACACCCTCAGTAACCTACATCCTCCAGTCACACCCCACCTGCCTACAGTTAACACCAGGTTAATCCATATCAGTGAATTAAGCCTTTGATCAAGTTACAACTTTTGTAATTTAATCACTTCACCTCTGAACATTCTTGCATTGTCTCATACATCAGTTTTTGGGAGATACCATGAATCCAAACCATATATATATATATATATATATATATATATATATATATATATATATATATATATATCTCCAAGTTTATCTTTCTAAAATTATTTCTATCTCTCCATATGTGTTTATACATAGATACATGGAATTGTGCTAATCAAATGTATGTTATGTTATTAAGATTTAAGGTTGCTATATTTGCAATATAGTAAAGCACAAATAACTCTAATAAGTTTATTCAAAGAATCATTCAGTTCAGGTAGGACTAAGATTTACAAATTTTCTTTTAAAAAATACTGATTGAGCTATTAAATTAAATCATCATAATAAAACTTATAGCTCTATGAAATCCATGGTGACTCATATCAAAAATATTCACTGATGGAAAAACTTTTATAAAATAAAAAGATATGTGATAATTTGGATGTGAGGTGTTCCCCAAAAGCTCATGTGTGAGAAAATGCAAGAAGGTTTAGAGGAGAAATAATTGGGTTATGAGATCTTTAATCCAATCAGTGAATTAATTCCTGGTAGGGATTAACTGAGTAGAAACTGAAGGCAGGTAGGGTGTGGCTGGAAGAGGTGGGTCATTGGGGGCATGTTTAAGGATATATATTTTGTATCTGGGGAGTGGAGTCTCTCTCTTTCCTTCCTAATCATCATGTGAGATGCTTCGCTCTGCCACACTCTTCCACCACAATGTTCTGCCTCCCCTTCAGCACAAAGGAATGGGGACTGAGACCACTGAAATTTTTCCTCATCTATAATTGTTCTGGTTGGGTCTTTCAGTCACAGCAGAAAAAAAAAAAACTGATTAAATAAGAATTATACACTGTCAGTTTCCAAACTTTAGAAAGAAGCAACAAAGTACAACATCATAATGCCATGCTTTTCCACTTTCTGTAAAATCAAAATGTTTTAATCCAGTCACTCTTCTTGAACATTGCCTAATAAAGATAATCCAAAGAGGATATAGAACCACTACAACAAATCGCAGGTGATTCATAATTTCCTTCCCCCCTCTAAAGCTAGGGCTTATGACAATAAGATTTCTATTGAAGATTTCTCAGTAGGAACTTTATAATTGATTCAATAGAACAAAATAATAAATTCATAGCACAGCCTTAAAATATTAGTTGTGCTTTCTTCCAAATGAAATATTAATTTTGTTAATTAATTTTTTTTCAGTAATGATAATCAAGAACTTTGGACACACAGGAATTAATATGACACTAAATTAATATCAAGTCAAGATCATATTTGGAATGGTTGCTAACCACAATTTATATTAAATTACTTCCTCTCAAAATACGCTATGCCTTATAGTCTCCAGGCAAAATAAGGTCACACTCAGAATCCAAAAGTTCTATTTTATATTGAGGTGTTTACAATGTTGTGGGAACTCAAGTTTTCCCTCAAACTTTTCACCAATATATCTAGAAGACTGTTAGTTAATGTTCCTACACATATGATCTAATGTTCTTAGTCACCATGTGGCTGGCAACCTCTTGTTGCACTGTCTTGCTGTCATGTTACTTGCTGTCATATTACCCCTTGGCAATACAAAAACAGCAGTGGTGATGCAGACAGTGTATCTAGGGCAGACAAGCAGGCTGGGAGGCTGAAGACATCTCTACCAGGCTGCTGGCCTGAGCTAGTTAGTCCTCCTGATGGTACCATCTCTTCAGATCATACCCTTGTCTACAAATGCTGCTAATGACATCTGATGTTTTCAAGAACTCCTGGGGATTTTGGAGAAGTGGTGTTTTTAATGTTTGCTTTTAGCTATTTTTTCTTTCATACATGACAATAGTGGAATGCATTACATTCATAATTATCCATTCAGAGCACAATTTTTCATAACTCTGTATATAAAGTATGTTCACGCTAAATTATGCCATTATACTTGAGCTCCATTATTGATTTTTTTTTGCATTACAATTCTTAATACACCTTTATACCACAATTTATCATATCTCTGTTTGTATATAAGGTATGATGACACCAAATTCACATCTTCAAACATGTATTTTGTATAATGATGGCCGTCTCCTTTCACCATCCTTGCTATTCCCCTTCTCCCTCCCTTAGCCTCCCACCCCTATTCCCTATCTAGAGGTAATCTTCCTCTTCTGCTCTTCCTTCCTACCCCACTTTGAGTCACCCCCCTTATATCAGAGAAAACATTTGGCATTTGTTTTTGGGGGGGATTGGCTAGCTTCGCTTAGCATTATCTTCTCTAACTCCATCCACTTACTGGTATTTGTTCATTCTTCTTTAAGGGCTATACCCTAGAACTCAGTGTGGGGGCTGACTGACTTGCTGGAAGCATCATATTCAGAATGACCTTTCACCTTTATCTTTAACACAGTAGGACTCAAATTTCTCTTCACCCATCATGTCTTTTTCCAAGAAACAGTACAGTTCGTCATATATATAATCTCTTAATGGGACCTTTATTCATTGCTCCAGAGAGATACAAAGAGGTCTTCATTAAAGAATAAAATAATAGCTTGGGATCAGGAAGGGACTGCTCTTTTTATGTAACACAGAAAATGGGGGGGGGGACTCTGACTCGTTTGGATGCTCTGTATTTCATAGAAGTAGATTTTTGTATGCAACAAGGCAAGCAAATGTCCTATAAAATCCACTGCTCATAATAAAGCCTATCTATCATGAGTTTATTATGTGCCAAACACTTCAAAGGGCTTTATATGAAGCACACCATTTATCAATTTTTGGATGTAGAGGTTGAGGTTTACAGGAGTGTTTAGTAACTTCACAAAAGTCAATAGTTAATCTAGGCTTGCTTGATGCCAAAACTCTTGTTCTTAATCACTGTGATCTAGATCAGCAAGGATAGATAGCTCCTACATAAAAAACAGGATTATGAGAATGAAAAACACGATCTTCATACATTCATGGAGTACACCATGAAATTCCTACTAATTCCTCAAGCTCTGCTAGACATTTGGAAAACAACGATAAATAGTACAGCCTATGCCTCCATAATATAAAACAAACAAATACAACTTCTGTTGAAGAGAAGGACCTTGTTACAGTTCAGATATGGTGTGTCCCCCAGAAGCTCATGTGTGAGACAATGCAAGAAAGCTTACAGGTGAAATGATTGGGTCAAGAAAGCCTTAACCCAATCAGTGCATTGATCCTCCAATAGGAATTAACTGGGTGGTAATTACGAACACGTAGTGTGTGGCTGGAGAAAGAGGGTCACTCAGGACATGTCTTTGGGGTTGATATTTTGTCCTTGTTGAGCAGAATAGTCTCTCTCTGTTTGCTGGTGATCGTGTCCTGAGTTGCTTTCCTCTGCCACACTCTTTGGTGGTGATGTTCTATCTCACCCTGGGCCCAGGGCAGTAGAATCAGCCATTTATGGATAAAGACCTTTGAAACTGTGAGCCCCCAAAAAACTTTTCCTCCTCTATGGTGTTCTTGATGGGTCTTCTGGTCACAGTGATGAAAAAGCTGACTAAAACAGAAATGACCTTGAAATCAAACTATCCTCAAATGGCCAGGAGCTAAAGAAAGATACATACTTCCATATGTGTAAAACATGTACTTCTTGAACTTTCCTGTAAGACAAAAACCAACAATCAACATCATCATGCTCTTGAGAGAGGAGCTTCATTGGTGTGAGGTGCATCATGGAAAGGTAGCTGTGTTGCAATTTAGTACAATTATGAAGAAATACAAATTCTTAATGAAAATATGGAACTTGTGTTGATTAACAAAGAGGGCCATGTACCAAATGAAGAGCTCCCAGTGCATTGCCAAAACAAATTCATTTGTATAATATTTTCTTTTTCAGCTAACTGATTTAGAATATATTATCAAGGGAAAAAAAGCCATATTTAAAATAAAACCGAACTCAAGGAATCTCTGGTTTATAGTCAGTACAATTCTTGAATACTAAAATGTCTTAATCTTCCACTTGAAAGCACTAACAAAAAAGAAAAGTCCATGCTGTATCTCTGCTGCAGAGGTACTGGATATTACCTTCAGTCAGTGACAATGCATATAGTATCTGGAAGACTAATGTGCAAAACGGGACATGGATAAGAGAAGGGAAATAAATTTATGTGATATATAAAATAAAATTTAAAGAACTTTACTCCAATTCAATAAGATTTTCAAAAACAATGACCAGGGCTGGGGTTGTAGCTCAGCAGTAGAGTGCTCACCTAGCTTTTCCAAGCCCTGGGTTCGATGCTCAGCACCACATAAAAATAAGTAAATAAAATAAAGGTATTGTGTCCAACTACAACTAAAAAAAATTTAAAAATAACAACCAAAGAGATATTTTCCTTGTTTTCTTTTGTACTTTAAGTAAACTATTCACATATTAGGAATAGGAGGGAATTTCCCAATGGCCTCAGAGGCAAAGCTTGTGTTTCACATTCTTCCAGGGAGAAAAAGCTGCCTTGATATAATATTAAGTCTAAAATTAGAACAAAGAGAAGAGGAAAAATAAAATTATGATATAGAGGATCAGAGTCCATTATAAAACTATTTTGTAAGGTTGACTGAGTGACTTATTGTGAGCAAAAATATAGAGCAAGCAGGGCTGCAAAAAGACTGAAGACTGCTCTACATTTTATGGTTTAATCATAGGTCTCTTCTGAAGAAAGGACATTAATTTCCCAAAAGGAAAACATAGCATAATTGTTTTTTATCCTATACAAGAAGGATAGGTGTCTGTTCACCCATTGGACTGGTTTTCATTTACATTTAGTTTTTTAACAGATACATTAAAATCATATATATTATTGGGGTACCATGTAATGTTTTCAAGCAAATATACATTGTGTAATGTTTAAATCAGATTAAACATATGTGTCTCCTCAAACGTTTGTCATTTCTTCATGGTGAAAATTTTCAAAATCCTTGCTTCCACTTTTTCTAAATAAAGGTACATTATTATTTTATCTATAGTCACCTACCATGCAAAAGCACACGGGAACTTCCTGTTTCTGTCTGTTACTCAGTACACAGGGATCAAACTTTCTCCATCCCGAAGCGCCACTCTCCCAAGACTCTGGTAGTCACCCTTCTCCCCTCATGAGGTCAGCTTTTAGACTCTACATATGAGTGAGATCATGTGGTGCTTGTCTTTTTTTTATTATGTAATGTTTTTAATTTATATATGACAGCAAAATGCATTACAATTCTTACTACATATTTAGAGCACAATTTTTCATATCTCTGGTTGTATACTTAGTGTACTCACACCAATTCTTGTCTTCATACATGTACTTTGGATAATAATCATCACATTCCACCCTCATTAATTACCCTATGCTCGCTCCCTTCTCCTCCAACCCCTCTGCCCTATTTAGAGTTTGTCTATTTCTCCCATGCTCCCTCTCGCTATCCTACTATGAATCAGCCTCCTTATATCAAAGAAAATATTCGGGATTTGGTTTGGGGGGATTGGCTAACTTCACTTAGCATTATTTTCTCTAATTCCATCCATTTACCTGCAAATGCCATGATTTTATTCTCTTTTATTGCTGAGTAATATTCCATTGTCTTTATTAGGCTAGATTATTTCACTTAACATAACAATCTCCAATTCATTCATGTTGTCACAAATGACAAGATTTCATTCTTTTTTATGGCTCAATATTATTTTGATGGGTATATATGAAACATTTTCTTCATCCACTTATCAATTGAAACTTTCTTTCCATTTCTTGGCTATTGTGAATACTCCTCAATGAACATGGGAGAAGTCTCTAACATACTGATTTAATGTTCTTTGGATACATACCCAGGAGTGGAATTCCTGGATCTATTTTTAATTTTTTGAGCAATCTCCCTACTGTTTTTCCATAATGACTGAACTAACTTACATTTCTACCAACAATATTCAAGGGTTACTTTTTTTCCACATCCTTACCAGTACTTGTTATCTTTAGTCTCTTGATAACTGTCATTCCTACTAGGGTGAAGAGATAGGTCATTTTGGTTTTGATTCACATTTCCCTGATGATTAGTGATACTGAGCATTTTTCATATACTAGCCTTTAATATGTTTTCTTTTAAGAAATGTCTACGTAGGGCTATTGCACATTTTTAATTAAAAATACTTGTTTTTATTAGCCACTGAGTTTGTGGAGTTTTTATGTATTCTGGCTATCAACCCCTTGTCCGATATTTAGTTTGCAAATATTTTCTCCTGTGATATAGGTTACCTCTTCACTTTGTTTATTATTTCCTTTGCTACATAAAAGTTTTTAATATAAAAGTTGTCTATTATTGCTTTTATCCCCCTCTGCTTTTGGGGTCTTACCCAGGTTCTGTGGTGTACTCATTACTGTATTGGCTTTATGTGTAAAAAGTCCTTCAGTTTCACAGTGGCACCACAAAAGCCTGTTTTCATGCTTACTTGACCAACTTTCATCATCAAATCTATTCCCTTTCTTGTAGATGCCTAAAATCCCACTATAGCAATTCAGTCCTTTGGATCTTATGAGATTTTTATTTTGCACCATAACATTTGTGGCTTAACTTGTTGTGGTTGTAATAGCCCTTGACGTGTCTGAATTTCTCTTCATAAAACTTCATATTCATGTTTTGGATTAACATACTTGAAATGATTGATTAAGGCACAGTGCGAAGACAATTCTGAAAATCAGATATGAAAGTATAGGAAAAACTAAATTTTGAACAGAAGACAAGCTGACTTATAAGATCATGACTTAGAAGGTCACAACTCCCCTTGAAAGACATGAACTTACTCCATTTTTTAGTTAACAAATCTTCAGGAAATAAATTAGGTATATTCTGATATATAAACCAATGCTTAAAAACACCACAAACAGGCAATTTCTCACCTACGAGGTTTTCTTTAGAAGCCTAAGTCAATATCTCCTTCAGAACAGCTTAAAAAAAATGTTTTTGAATATCCACTAGGGACTAGCTAGTGTACTAAGCACACCAGGGAATACAAGATGAGAAATAATGTCAGCCCTTGGGGGCTCCCACTTAAATCCAAGTAGTTCTAAGGCAGCACAGACAGGGAAAAATGGAACAGAAGATCTACAAACAAAATGTTAGTAGAGGCATCATTACTTTAAAATTGGGGCAGTGGAAAGACCTTGTACAGAAGGTAAAATTTGCTAAAAAGTCTACTCTGTGCCAAAGTAAGGCAGAAACTAATAGGCAATACTTGCCTATATGAAACCTCTCAGATTGTCAGGAAAGCGGGTCTTCAAAGTACTACAGCAGGCCAATGTGCCACAGTGATCCTATAAACAAGTACAGCACCATGGAAGGAAAGAGCACAAAGCACCTGTTCTTCTACAAGGATTGAGGGTTAACCTGCCTTGATATAGAAATGTTTTGCTGCACCCCAAAGGGAGATGAAGGATATTCCAGGCAGCAGAACTGAACTATCATGTAGTCAAAAACTGTTCTATAAGATGGGTGTGAGTTTCAGAGCAATAGACCATGATGAGCATTTCAAAGACCCAAGTTAAAAACAGTAGTTCCCTATTCTCTGCAAAAGAGCCCTTTATAAATTTGGAAACAGCTACTACTAATTCAACTTTCAATTTCCTTCCTGGATTGTATTTTCTGATTCTTTCATCTCAGCTGAGGCTGAATCCTCCCGTGTCTCCTAAATTCATCTTGAATTTGAAACTCACACTTCTCATGCTTCTGTAAAAGTCTTGCCACTCATGGTCTCCCAAATTCTATACACCATATGCTTATTGGCTCATTTTATATATAATATACTTAGTGGTGCATTTCAAGTCTGTCCTTTACCTGAATAGGACAGAGGAACTTCTCTGACTGCCAGGCTCATATGGTTTCACGTTATACAAGTAAATATTTAACGGATAATTTCTATCATCAGTATACTCGTCCCATTGTTCCAAATAGCACAAGCTGTAGGATATCCCCAGGGGGCCACCACCACTGTTTATGGGGGTATCAGACCAAGTTATAAGCTACTCTGTCAACATGGAACTCTGGCTTGAAACTTGTCTCCTTACCTACAGTTCTGATGGAATTTGTTGGCATTATCCACTATCACTGCTGAATTCACCTTTGTTATTTTAAGTGCTTGTGTTATGAGTGTCCTCAGTAAAGCCTCTGCCTGGCAATCTATTTCATCAGACTCTGTGGTTCAAGAAGCTGCTAATGCTTCCCTGGATTTATCATCAGGGATGATAAATCACCTTCTACATGGGAGTTGGCTTCCCTCAGGGACCCTTCAGGCTACGATTTCTGGCCTCTAGTCCACTAGATGGTGATACCTCTTGCCTGATCAAGAAAAGTAGGCAGTACATAGAGTTAGGTACCACATGGTTTTCATACTCAGCATCTTACAAATGCTGCAATTGTTTGCTGTTTACCCTTGTCTTAACCGTATCATCATTCTAATTACTTGGTTCTAGTTTATGACTATTTTCCAAGAAGGTCACCCTCTTGCTTGTCAATTAATTTACTCATTCAATAAACGTGGAGATCTTAAAAAAGGAATAATTAGTAAATATAAGAAAAATAAAAATATTTTAGTGGGATAAGCACAAGATAACAGCAAACTGTAAGGGTAAAAGATGGA